ACGGCTCGTGTCCTAACACCTAAGACCAGGATACAAGGACCCCAAAATAAGGTACCCTAATAGTCCGAAACTCAACACATCATGTATAACCTACTTACTACGTTCCCTTGGCACTAAGAAGCAGCGACATCGTCTTCGGCATTCCCTTCGCAAACCTTCAGAAGCTGCAACGGCATGAACCCCCATGGCAAGCGCATCCGGGGACGGAACGGCTCTCTGAGGGCCAGCTGCACCGCCACCTTCTGCAGCAACTTCCTGGATCCATTGGCGGCCTGAAGCTCTGGACGAAGTTTTTTTTTGTTTGGGTCTAGGGTTATTTGGGGGAGCCTGAAGGAATCTTCTAGATGGAGCCTTGAAATAAAGCCAGTTCCCACCCCGGAAACCAGGGATACATATGTATACACTTATGCATATAATGAATATGTAGAGAACAAGCCCATTTTCACATTCTATGGTTTATACCTTCAAACCGTGTTCCATATACCATGTATGATCAAATCCTACTCTTAATCAAGCACATATATATATATACATACATACATACATACATACATACACACATACACACATACACACATACACACATACACACATACACACACATACATGCACACACACACACACACATACATACATACATACATACATACATACATACATACATACCTACGTACGTACGTACGTACGTACGTGTATATATATATATATATATACAGATGGTTATCTATAGATTTACATACAGGTGTTATTTTTTAGTATGGGGTCATTTCGTACCGGGTGAGGGGATCGTCAACATGCACCTCAGCGCGAAGAACCTCCCTATGATCGAGCAATTTGGGAGAGAAGTTGAGTCGAAGTTCGCAGAAATGATCAACGGCAACACGATGACGAAAGGCAAAGGCAAAGGTATAGGAGCGGAGAAGAAAACCCAAGATGACCATGCAACTTTGCCCATGAACCACAGATCGCACCCGAGGACTTCCAAGTACCCGTTCAGCCTCAAAATCTCCATCATCCACGATATGAGGGGGCACTGGGACGTGTGGAACAACGCATGACAGGAGGCTGTGGGGAAAGCAAACAAACCATATGTTGCAAACATTCTCACGGACGAGAACAGCTGAACCGCAAGCGTAGGAGCATACCTTATGCAGTTTAGGCACAGTCGCGGCCAAATTTTCCGTAGAGGTTCAGATTTTCCATTTGGCAGGCAACTGCATCAACGCAAACAGACGGGCACATCAAAACAGTCAGAAAAGGAGTGAAAAAGGAGGCAGACGGAGTTACACGCAGACCGTGGCTTCGGCCACAAGGCCTTCGGGGTTCTCCCAGTACTTTCCAGGTACTCTCACCTTTCTCCGAAGCCGGTTTGTCATGATATGGTGGCTCACTGCTGCACACTATCGTACCACAACGTGTCCTTGCATACGCAAGCACATGCGCGGATAGATCCCAAATGTAACTCAACCATGGCCGTAAATAAACAAATCAATGTTGAAGCGACTGCAAGCCCCCCCCCCCAAGCGATGCGGGAAAGCCGCGTTCCTCTTACAAGAGGGAATGGCGGTAACCAACTGCGAACCAAAACAGTACATGAAAATATCTTTTTTGACGTACCCCACTTAAAGAAAAAAGCCGTAGCGAAATTGCCAGAACAGATAGGAAGTGTAGAAGAGCAGCAAAAACAAGAGTACAACGACAACACTACAGGAAAATCAAAACGCAAGCAACTGATCTGGCGAATCAGTTGCACTAGTTTGTCCAAGAACCAACAATGCACGAATCATCTACAGATACTTTCTTCTTCCAAAGGAGTGATACATTCTTGCGAGACATGACTGCGGCTACACTTAATTGTAGAGGCCTTTCGTCTATATCGAGATGGGAACGTGTTATTCACACAATGCACAAGCACAACATAGATGTTCTAAGCCTACAAGAAACCAAAATAAACAGTAATTCATCAAAAGAGACCCAGGATGGATACACCATGTACTGGTCCTCAGGAATTTCCGATGGAAAAACGAAATAAGGCCGAGTTTGTCAAGCGTGCAAATCCACACCGACGCACCCCTCAGCAGGCTACGATAATGCGTGATGCCATTGAACATGTGGGTGTTGGTATTCTGATATCGAAGGGGATGGGCAGATATGTCAAAGACATTCAGCAGAGAAGTGCACGTAATATTTGTATTACTTTAACGATGCAAGCTGGCGGCCTTAACGTAGTCTCAACCTATGCCCCTCAAGCTTGTTGCTCGGAGCCCAATCCTTCGCAAAAACGTTATCATGAGCTTATGGAATTCTTGGTGCGGAGTACAAATACTCAATTTAACACCAGGACCATATGCCGTTTGAGCGGGATGCTATAGGGCCTTACACACTCGGTGCATCGGATGGTTCACTCGATAGTCTCAGTGAGGCGCAGTTTCAAATTCGATTGAACTTTACGGAGTTTTGTCTCACTAGCGGTTTAAGCGCACGAAATACTTTTTATCAGCAGTCGGAAGAACAGCTAGTTACTTACAAAAGCGTTGGAGTAAAATATTGGAAGGCCCCGTGGCACTTGCACCAACATGCGCAGATGGACTACATACTTATTAATAACGAATGGAAAAATGCTATCACGAAATGCCTCCACAACTTATGCCCATACAGTGGAAACAGATCATAAGCTCATGATGGCGAATGCTAAATTCAAGTCAAAGGCTCATAATACAACAAGAACGCCCAACATTCCTCAATTTCGAACCCCTTAACCACAAGAACTAGCTGCTCTCTGACCAGATTGGACATCTTGCGAGCTCTCAAGACATAATCAACAACGTAAATGAAATCATCAAGCTTTGCCTAGGAAGCAGCCCGAACAGAAAAGACCCACTTATCCCCAAGAGACATGGATCATGTTGGTGCGGCTGCGCTGTTTTAAAGATCCGAATTCCGTCCTCTTGTTTGGTGAAAACACAATATGTGCTCTGGTCGGGAGCCCAGTCACGCTCTGCAGAAGAATATCAGATGTGTATGTATATATATATATACACACATCTGTCTATCTATCTATCTATCTATCTATCTATCTATCTATCTACACATACATATGACGCTGCTTGTCTTCATTTTGATTCGAGCACCCTGGGCTACCTGATTGGGGGTCCTCAGAATAGGATCCTACCATATGGGGTCCCTGAAATCACCTGCAATAACTGCGAGGCTGGGAACCTGCCGATATGAGTGTCTGCATACGTTCGTGTCCTCAACTGAGGAGCCCCATCAAGAACCCAAGACCCCGGCCTCAGCCAAAAGGCTACCACATCATGCAATCCCAAACAGAGGCCTTGGTCCCCAGACCGTTTAACGCGAAAGTACCAAATCCCGACAAACCCAATACATCCTATTAAACCTTCCTAGAACCTTCTTGGACCTCCCCAAACACCGAACAACGCCCTTCCCAAGCCCCCCGCCAGCAGTGCGCGAAGCTCCGCAGGCGCTCGCCGGCCGCCCTCGACGCAGCGGAGAAGAGCCCGGGTCAGCAGCTCCTCGCCGGACAATGGAAACTGTAGTATTAGGGTTTAGGGTTTAGGGTTTAGGGTTTAGGGTTTTAGGGTTTTAGGGTTTTAGGGTTTAGGGTTCCTTGAGCTTTACAAACAAGAGGCCTGGGGTTCCCTAAGCCCTGCATATGACCTTATCAATTGCAGAGACAGTGCAAGCCATAGTCCACAACGGGAGTCTGTATCAGGAGGAAATTATGACAAGACAACCCAGATCCAGCATGCAACAGCACCATCGAGATCTCTACAGTCTAGGCCATCTGCATCTTATAATTTCATTCCGCAGGGCTGTCAAGACCCAACGCCTTCCAAGAGGTTCTTGTCTAAAGACGCCCTTCGAATTCGGCCTTGAGTTGAAGAGTTTCGGGAAATTGGCCTTTGGCGCTTTCCGGCTCAAGGGGTTTAGGGTGCTGCTCGACGTGCCTTGGCTTCGTGGGAGCGTCAGAAAATGAAGGACCTGAATGAAGACCCTACATTGCAGGATCTTCGTTTGCGGAACCCTACATAGGTGACGCCATTGAAAACTAAAAAGCCCCCTACCATCCTCATCAATCCTAAACCCTAAATCTTGTAAACAAAGGCATAAAGCCCCCTTACAGATAGCAAAATGCCATGCATTCTATGACGTACGTATGCATGTATGTCGCAGGCACATGTCTGTGCATCTGCATCTGCATGTGCACAAGTAATGTATACGTATATGTACATGTACGTGTATATGATATCTATATGAATATGTGCATCTTTTGTGTATGGATATCGAGAGAAAGAAAGAAAGAAAGGAAGAAAGAAGGAAGAAAGAAATAAATAATGAAAGAAAGACAAAAAGAAGCAAAGAGAGCGAGAGAGGGAGATACATTACATAGATGATAGATATCTTTGAACAATTGAAAAGCCCCCGCAAAAGGAAGGTGTAGCCTCGAGCGAGGGCCCGGGGGTGGCCATGGACTTCCATGGTGCGACGCCGCTGCTGAAGCTTTCTCCGATTTTAGGGCTTGGGGTTCCTCTAGGCTTTAAGAAAAAACTTCAGGGTTATAGAGCTTCAGAAATGTAGGGCTCTGTTCGGGTATTGAGACTTTGGGGCGTTGTGTCGTTTGGCGCTGCACCGAGCGCTGGAAGAATTTGCACAAGGCAAATGGAGTTGTGCCGGGCTTGGAAGTCGGAGGCTTAGGTGTCGGTGTCAGAAACGAGTCATGGTAGCGGAGCCTGGAAAGTTATCCGTTCTTGAGCGGTGACTTCTTGCGGTCAGGAAACAAGCGAAAGGTTCGAAGTCGGCAGAGGAGGTAGTGGTAAGAGTAGCAACAGTCGTCGTAGAAATAATATTAACGTATATCAACATTCGATTAGCTGATATTGAGATGATCGATACTCTCGCTGCCATCTACAAAACCTGTTGCTGGAATTGATGCAGCATGCTAGTACCGCTCTTCTTCTCGAAGCTCAGCCTCCGACGGTGATTCTCCGATCCTTTCTCCTGCAGAGACCGATGCCAAGCGCAACTCGACTGCCATGCGAGCATCTGCAGGCGCAGAGGGCCTCCTGCGACAGAGCACCAGCATAGCTGAAGGCACCTGTCAAAGAGCTTGCAAGACCATTCCCCATAATTTTTGTAGGTAGTTTTCTAAATTAGGGTCCCTCTTAAGTCCCCAACATAGTACGACACCCCTATAAAAAAAAGACCCTCAAAAGGACCCTCATTTAGAGAACAACCCGTAACCATGTAGTTTCCCTAAACTTCCACTCTTGTGGATGCACCGAAGGGGGCGGCCAGCGGAAGCCGCAGAAGCCACTCCACCGCCGGCATGAAAGTCGGAACCTCGACCAACTCCAGCCCGGGTTTTGGGCTTCCGGCTTATGGTTTCAGTGGGAGACTTTAGGGTTCAGGGATACCGCTCTCAGGAACTTGAGCAGAAAACCCTCGTAGGGATCTCTACAGCAACCGAAGCTCGAAACCGAGGGACATTCATGCGGTAGAGCTCGATGAAAGTTCGCTGGTGAATGTCCTTCGGGCTTAGGAGTCTGGGTTTTGCTATCTTTTTCGGTTCAGGGTTCTCTGGTCCAGAAAGGTGGCACTGGTAGTCAGGACGACTGGCGTGAGGAGATCTGCGAGATCTACAAGGCAACGCGAAGCCCCAGCCAAACCCTAAACCCTAAAC